TTGCTAAGAAAGGCAGGATACAAATGCAGTAAACAAATAAATAATAAATATCAGAAGTTGTCCCACCTGCAATATGCAGCTGGTAGCTGGCAGTGAAAACCCACTGTTCCTTTCCCATGTCCTAATATCAACAGTTCTTCTGCTTATCCAAACTTTGCTTATCCAAATGTGTTGGAAGTGAGCTGGCACTTTGAACTACAGCGTGTGAGCCAAGGCATTGAGCCGAAAGTTCCTGATTCTAGGAGTCAAGACAGGCATGGCTCGCTACCAGTTTGGTTTTATATAGTGAAAACAATGTATATTAAGGAAAGTAGTTTGTATTGAATACCAATGTTATGTTAACTCTATCAGGAACTAGTTGTGTTGCTCTTGAAATCCAAGCTTATGTAGTGTTGTCCTTAGGCGATCCCTCGTTGTCTGAGTAGGATTGTCTTTCAAGATCGGTGTACTGGCGGTTGGTCCATAGGTGACCATGGATGGTCTCCCTTCCGCAGTGAGGGCATTGCTTTCCAGGTTGAAGGTGGTCCCGGTTGGGGTTGGCTTGACGTGCCTTCCTCTTGGCATTTTTCTCTCTTTCACCCTCCATTCGTGCCTCTTCAAATTCTACAGCACTGCTGGTCACACCTGACCTCCAGCTGGAGCACTCAAGGGCCAGAGCTTCCCAGTTCTTGGTATCTATTCCAGAATTTTTAAGGTTGGCTTTGAGCCCATCTTTCAATCTCTTTTCCTGCCCACCAACATTCTGCTTTCCATTCTTGACTTCGGAGTAGAGCAACTGCTTTGGGAGATGGTGGTTGGCATCCGGATAACGTGGCTGGTCCAGCGGAGTTGATGGCGGAGGACCATCGCTTCAATGCTGGTGGTCTTTGCTTCTTCTAGCACGCTGATGTTTGTCTGCTTATCTTCCCAAGAGATTAGCAGGATTTTCAAGAGGCAATGCTGATGGAATCATTTTAGGAGTTGCATGTGATGTCTGTATACAGTCCACATCTCGCAGGCGTTTAGCAGGTTTGGGAAGACAGTAGCTTTATAAACAAGCACCTTGGTATCCCTATGGATGTCCCAGTCCTCAAACACTCTCTGCTTCATTTGAAAAAAAAGCTGCACTTGCAGAGCTCAGGCAGTGTTGTATTTCAGTGTCAATGTTGACTTTGGTGGCGAGGTGGCTTCTAAGGGAGCGGAAATGGTCAACATTTTCTAATGTTACACCATTACGCTGTATTTCTGGCATTGGAGAGGGATTGGCTGGGGACTGCTGGAAGAGCACTTTGGTTTTCTCGATATTAAATGACAGGCCAAGCTTCTGCGAAGTTGTTTTGAGTGGCTTGTAGAGTTGTCCTTACCCTACAAAGCATTGCAGGAGACACCTTATATATGAACATTGGGACCGTGCTTCTGAATATAAATATACTACTTCCCTAAAAAGGTTGTCATTCCCTTTCATAAGTAATAGTTTTCTTTTTCCAATATCTTCCTTTCAGAATTTCAAAGTGAATGTTCCATTACTAGTTGAAGAGAATCAGTTAGCCAATGGCATATTTATGTAGCCTTCCTCCTCCCATTTCTTCCCACATCCAGTACATGCATATTTGTTTTAAGTGGAGTATCCACATAGCAGTGTGCATGCTCGTGGCTAAGGGCATGGGAAGGAGAGGGGGAGACAAAGAGCCAGAGACAATTAGAGAAGGGATGAAATGACCACAACTCTATTGATTACAGTTTGGTAGGGTTTGTAAGACATGTTAGATGATAGTCCTTCCTGCCTGCTGGAAAATCAGCTTGGTCCCAGAGGACTCTTAATCTCTAGGTGTGTCCCCCCACCCCCGTTTCCCCTCAAACCTAGAAGTGAGGCCAAGTGCTAGCCCTTGATCCCCACTTTTTATTTATTTACCTTACTTATATACCGCTGTTCTCAGCCCGAAGGCGACTCACAGCGGTTCACAACAAATACGAACAGCAAAAATTCAGTGCTACAGTATAGAAACAGTTAACAACCTAACACATTACACAATTAATAAACAGTTACTACAATACCCATTCACTGTCGTCTCGTCATCAAAAACATGTTCCAGATTCGTCATCCATTGTTCCATTCCAGTGTTCATTAACCAATCATTGCACTAATTATTCGAACGCCTGCTCAAACAGCCAGGTCTTCACTTTTTTGCGGAATACCATTAGAGATGGTGCTAGTTTAATGTCCGTAGGAAGGGCGTTCCACAGCCGAGGAGCCACCACCGAGAAGGCCCTATCTCTCATCCCCGCCAGCCACTTTCTAGTTCTGTTTTGGTTTTTTTTTTTTGGAGACAATCAGACTTCTAGCTTCCACCAGAAATGGATCCAGACCAATGCTAACAATGTCTCTGGCAGTGACAAAAGAAAAACACAATGAGTTAATATTGTTTAAGGGAGATCTCCATTTTGGAAAAGCTCTCCTGCCTTCTTTAGTATAGAAAAGGCCTCAGATGTGCTGGTGGCCAAGATAGGCAGCTCGGACAGGCCATTGTGAGTAAGGTTACCCTCTCACCTTTGAAACTGGTGCTGAGCTCAGATAGAGAAAGACCTGCTTTTTCTAAAGAACAGTAGCTAAGTGCTCGGGCAGGGAATATCTCAGGATTTCTCTGCCATTGGGAGAGGCTCCATTACTTCATCTCCAAAACTAATCTTGAGCTTGGATAGGGAAAGACCTGCTCTTTCTGAAAGATAGCAGCTCAGGGTTAGGGTAAAAGATCCTACCAGTGTTCCCACACATATCTAATATCATTTGACAACTCTTTAAGAACTGGTCATCTGGTTGCTAAACATATGTGGCACATATTTTACTCTGTAACTGGCCTTTGACAATGATCGAGGTCCAGATCGAGTTCCAGTGATCCTTTCTGAATCCAAGGATTGCAGTGTTTCATAAGAACTTTGGTAACTACAGCGCGAGGGAAATATCCCGACTGTTTTATCATTCTGTTCGCTGAGCTCAAATAGAATTATCCTGTGAATTGTTTCCCCTTCGCCTCCCGTCCCCTTGAGATCAAGGTCCAGATCGACTTCCAGTGATCCTTTCTGAATCTAAAAATTGCAGTGTTTCATAAGAACTTTGGTAACTACAGCGCAAGGGAAATATCATGACTGTGAGCAGCTGGGGGCCCTGCTTGCGATCCCACCTGCATCGCAAGCGTGATTGGTGGGGACAAGGGACAGGGCCTTCTCTGTGGTGGCCCCTCGACTCTGGAACTCACTCCTAAAGGATATCAGGCATGCCCCGACGTTGGCAGTCTTTAGAAGGAGCTTGAAAACGTGGCTGTTTCAGTGTGCCTTCCCAGAATAGGAAACTCCAAGCACTTTGTCCCAAATGCACTTTACTAGAGATCTAGGACTGTCTGCACGCTCAACCTATTTTCCAAAATATCTATCCATTTCACCCGGTCATGCCCAGCTTTTTAAATTTTAACCTTTACATCTGGCCCTGACATTGGTTTTTAGTTGCGTCGTGTTGTTATTGTTAATGCTATTGCTTGAGTTTATTTACTGCTGTATTGTAGTTGTCTTGTTTATTGTTGTATTTGGTCTCGGCCTATTGTAAGCCGCCCCGAGTCCTTCAGGAGATGGTAGCAGGGTATAAATAAAGGTTTATTATATTATTATTATTATTATTTATTCTGTTCGCTGAGCTCAAATAGAATTATCCTGTGAATTGTTTCCCTTTCACCTCCCATCCCCTTGAGATCGCCGCTCTGTTCTCCTTCCAACTTGCTCCAACCCTGCCACAAATTTAGGCTGCCTTTCCCAACAAAGGTCACGGTATGACCAGCCATTAATAGTCATCTGTCTGAACGGAACACTTTAGTCCCATCTGTAACCCATTCTGATGCAAGTGCAAATCTCATATAGACAAATATGTTTTTCAGGCTGGATTTACATACATTTTATGGATTAGAATTAGGCAGTATGCTTTTATTATAGTCCGGGGCTAACTGGGTTAAAGGGTTGGCCTTGAACATTCATCCAGACGTTACTTTAGAAAAGACTTTTTTGCATTTTTCCCCCCACAAATTAAATGCAAAAGGGGGAAAAGGGGTGTTAAAACAATCATTTGGAAGCAGGACAGAGGCCTTGGTGTGCCCAAGTTTTAAGGATTTGGAGCCTCTTTTTTGGCTTTTGTGAAATTAAAAGGTTAGCTATGAATAACCACAATCGTATCTTCCCTTTTGTCCATATTTAATTCAAATGAGATTGCTCCATATTGACTTCTAATGCTCAAAGGCCACCCATCATGGAATCCCTGCAGCCAATGAAGCAAGCAAGTGAATGCTTTCTTAAATGATGCTAATCAGTCTAGAGAGGCTTGCCCTCTCTCCCCATCAGTATTCCGTAATTCAGATGTGCTGATAACCTGAAATTGAATGTGTCAGTATGCAGACATGTGAAGAAAAAAAGGAAACTAGGAGGCAAAAGAGACAGCGATAGAGACAATGTCTATTTGTGATTTCTCCCCCTCCTTTCAGCACAGAGAGATGGGGGAAAAAAGGAGCATTGCAAGTTGCTCTCAAAAATTTTTTTATTGCAAGCTTTAAGGAGATGTGTTAAATGAATAAATACGCTCGACACTTCATTTCCATAAACTGCCTGGCAAATAATAATGAAGATTTCTTTAAAAAAACACACACAGAAATACATTTTTAAATGCAAGATCTTTATGTTTGTAGAATTCACTGTTCAGATATTTGCATTTGAAGCTAAAATTCTGAAGGCAATAATATTGCCATTGTGGCGAGGAGTGGAGGTCTCTGCTATGTCTGCAGCCATCTGTATTAAAACTGTATTTATCAAAATGTCGATCCAGATCATTTAAATATGATGTGGTGTTGGGCACTAAGAACTTAAGGAAACACAACAGATGCAATGATTCGTTGTTTTCGAATGTTGACTGACTTTCTGCATGTATGTGCAGACATTGGAGGAATTCTTTTCAGTAAATGTGCTGTTTGGTTTTCTTTCTTTCTCAGATTTACGTCTCATCTTCCCTCCAAGAAGTCTAGAATGATGTAAAATGGGCAAGATCATCACATCCACACTTTGAGGTAGGTTGACAGAAAATTATTCATCCTAGACCAGAATGCCTAACAGCTGGTAAACTGGCTGGGATTTCTGGGAGTTGTAGGCCAAAACATCTGGGGACACACAGGTTGAGAACCACTGATCTAGATCTATATAGTGGCCTTAGGAGGCCCTCAAGGACCATCTAGATCTATATAGTGACCTTAGGAGGCCCTCAATTACCATCTAGATCTATATGGTGACCTCCGGAGGACCTCAACGACCATCTAGATCTATATAGTGACCTTAGGAGGCCCTCAACAACCATCTAGATCTATATAGTGACATTAGGAGACCCTCAACACCCATCTAGATCTATATATTGACCGTAGGAGGCCCTCAACGACCATCTAGATCTATATAGTGACCTTAGGAGGCCCTCAACGACCATCTAGATCTATATAGTGACCTTAGGAGGTCCTCAATGACCATCTAGTTCTATATAGTGACCTTAGGAGGACCTCAACGACCATCTAGATCTATATAGTGACCTTTGGAGGCCCTCAATGACCATCTAGATCTATATAGTGACCTCAGGAGGCCCTCAACGACCATCTAGATCTATATAGTGACCTTTGGAGGCCCTCAACGACCATCTAGATCTATATAGTGACCTTAGGAGGTCCTTGATGACCGTCTAGATCTATATAGTGACTTTAGAGGCCCTCAGTTACCATCTAGAACAGTGGTTTTTAACATGAGGGTCCCCAGATGTTTTGGCCTTCAACTCCCAGAAATCCTAACAGCTGGTAAACTGGGTGGGATTTCTAGGATTGTAGGCCAAAACACCTGGGGACACACAGGTTGAGAACCACTGATCTAGATCTATATAGTGGCCTTAGGAGGCCCACAAGTACCATCTAGATCTCTACATTGACCTTAGGAGGCCCTCAACGATCATCTAGAACAGTGGTTCTCAACCTGTGGGTCCCCAGATGTTTTGGCCTTTAACTCCCAGAAATCCTAAGAGCTGGTAAACTGGATGGGATTTCTGGGAGTTGTAGGCCAAAACACCTGGGGTCACACAGATTGAGAACCACTGTCCTAGACTAAGGACAGCCATGTATTTGGTGTCCTTGGTTCAACAGTGTGTATGTGTTTGTGTAGTCTACAATTACATAAAGCATGGTTGAAAGTTTGAAGTGCAGAAATATCATAGTAACTTCCAATGATATCATAATTATCATTGTAACAGCTGTTGTGGTGTCACACTATTATGTGATGCAGACTTCTTGGAGATAAGCATTTAATCCCAACCCATTCAGTTCTTCTTCTATGAAATGAAGTTCCATTTTAGTAAGTACATAGTGCAGCTTCATGTTGTCGATCCATGAGGTTCTTATATGTATACAATTAATAAATATGGTAAAAATGTAACCACGTGCAATTATCCATAGCTGGCATCCAGAACAACTTAACAAAACCCATAGATCCATCACTATTCAATAGGTCTGTAATGCAGATCCAGTACTTAAGTCCTTAAAATATAGAATTTGAAACCACAATGAATTGTTTTGTATCTACAGATACTTTAGCATCACACATGTGTTGGTCTTATTATTATGTCGTATCAAAAGCATTGCATAAATTAGTACAAAACTGATAAAAATAGAAGGAGTACAGGCGGCTAAATATCTTTTTACCAAAAACGGGCAACAGCAACAGCATTGTCTGTAGCCTCCAACAATTCTTCCTCTGTACATGAAGCAGGGCATAGTGGACAAGCATAGAGATATGGAGTTGCCTGTTCTGCTCCACAGTCAAACAAGGTGTGGGATTCTATTGGTCTTATGAGGACAAATGAGTGTGATGCCTATCGATGACTATAGTGCAGCAATTTAAGATCATATCAAATTCACGACTTGATTGACATTATAGATGGAACCCATATTAGCTGCCATCAAAGCAGTTAAAGAGAATGAAAACCAATATGAAAGAGTAAGTATTAGAAGCAAAACAGAAGCTTGCTGCAGGAAAAAAGAGGGATGCTCATGAGCAGTGTTTCTCAACCTTCCTAATGCTGAGACCCCTTAATACAGTTCCTCATGTTGTGGTGACCCCCAACCATAACATTATTTTCATTGCTACTTCATAACAGTAATGTTTCTACTGTTATGAATCATAATGTAAATATCTGATATGCAGGATGTATTTTCTTTCACTGAAGCAAACTTGGCACAAATACCCAATACTCCCAAATGACTGATTTTGTCATTTGGGAGTTGTAGTTGCTGGGATTTATAGTTCACCTACAATCAGAGCATTCTGAACTCCACCAACGATGGAATTGAAGCAAACTTGGCTTACAGAACTCCCATGACCAACAGAAAATACTGGGTCTGGAGGGTATTGACCTTGAGTTTTGGAGTTGTAGTTCATCTACATCCAGACAGCACTATGGACTCAAACAATGATGGATCTGGACCAAACTTGGCTTGAATACTCAATATGTCCAAATGTGAACACTGGTGGAGTTTGTGGAAAATAGACCTTGACATTAGGGAGTTGTTGTTGCTGGGATTTATAGTTCACCTACAATCAAAGAGCATTCCAAACTCCACCAATGATGGAATTGAACCAAACTTGGCCTACAGAACTCGCATGACCAACAGAAAATACTGGAAGGGTTTGGTGGGCAGTGTCCTTTGGTTTTGGAGTTGTAGTTCACCTACATCCAGAGAGCACTATGGGCTCAAACTATGATGGATCTGGACCAAACTTGGCATGAATACTCAATATTCCCAAATGTGAACACTGGTGGAGTTTGTGGAAAATAGACCTTGACATTTGGGAGTTGCTGGGATTTATAGTTTACCTACAATCAAAGAGCATTCTGAACCCCACCAAGGAGAGAATTGGGTCAAACTTCCCACACAGGATCTCTATGACTAACAGAAAATACTTTGTTTTCCCGATAGTCTTTGGCGACTCCTTTGACACCCCCTTGTGCCCCTCCCCCAGGTTGAGAAACACTACTCTTGAGCATTCACATTATTCTAAACAATTAACAGAAGGTAGATGTCTACTTTGATCGAACCCTTGCCTTGTTGCTGATGGTAGTTCATCTAGCATTAGGTTCTTGTGGGTTTTTTCAGGCTATAGGGCCATGTTCTAGAGGCATTTCTCCTGACGTTTCGCCTGCATCTATGGCAAGCATCCTCAGAGGTAGTGAGGATGCCTGCCATAGATGCAGGCGAGGTAGTGAGGATGCTTGCCATAGATGCACTACCTCTGAGGATGCTTGCTATAGATGCAGGCGAAACATCAGGAGAAAAATTGCCTCTAGAACATGGCCCTATAGCCCGAAAAAACCCACAAGAACCTAGTGATTCCAGCCATGAAAGCCTTCGACAATACATTCATCTAGCATTGCTTAAGTATTTTTTTCCCTTCCCTTTTTTCATATTATGCCGAGGGTGAGGAGCTCCACTTCCTTCACTTTTCCATCTATAGCAAAGGAGATGTCAATAATACATTAAAACAAATTAATAGCTTTCATTGACATGTCCAGGAAGATAATGCTGGTGGATTTTTCCCCCCTTCCCACCCATTAGACACTTCCAATACAAATGCATACGATGGAGAGATTATGGCGATAAGTCAGTAAGTTTCATGGTTAAAGACAGGCGCCGATTTGTTCCCCGTCACTTGTGTCAGAGGCATTATTTTACGTGTCCTGGCCATTTTAAACACGGGGCAGTATGGTTAGACAGTCTTAAACATGTAAACGTAAAATGACGGAGAGCATCCCACGCCAAAACAGGAAGGCGTCCGCATGCGCCGATGGGGTCATTGGGGACCTCTTAATGTGCCTGCTTGTTTAGTAAGAGCATGAACTTGTTTCCCTACCGTTGGGGATCTAGGGATGGACATCAATCTCTCAAAATATAAATTATACCGATGAAAGGCATAAAGTGAGCACAATGGAAATGTAAGGTTCTTATCTCGCCATGTGACGGAACACTTGGACTCGTTAAATATAATGCCATTGATTGGCTCGTGCAACAAATATGGTCTGAAGGTTTGAATATATTTGCTTATATTGACACAGAGAGACAATGCATGGAGCCAGAGCTCTGTTGACGTGTGATTGCTTACTGTCGTCCGGATCTAAAATGCCTTTTTTGCACATTCTTTTTAATTGAACTGATCTGACTTGATTATTTGCACGCACATCTATATGTTTATGTGTGTATATGTCTTCGTGCACATACACAAACGGCGCATATAGAGATACCGCCTTGATAAAGAAAGAACTCTGGTTAAATAATCCACTTTTGTCTGACAACAGAATCGGTTATAGAGGTGCAAATATGCAGAAAGCTATTTGGAAATGCATCCTCGTAGTTGTCAGGTTTTATTATGCAGGAAGGTGTCATGTTTGTTACGACGCTGAGTGCAGATGGCAGAGTGGAAGAAATGGATCACTAATTTTAACAATGATTAATGAACAGAGATAGAAAATGAATTACATTGGACTATCGGAGGCAAGGAATATTTTTGAGCAAAATTTTGACTCATCTGCTCTGCTGTTCTCTGTAAATTATTTTCTGAAATTCTATATGTTGTCAACAGTTGACTGCATTTTCCATTACTGTCTATTTCTGTTCTTAAGTACTTTTGTGTTATTAGAGATACATAATTTCAAAATACCAATACATTCCTGATTACTTAGAGAAAATATATGTAAGACTATGAATGTTGCAAAGACCGCGGCCATAAATATCCTGTTTCATAATCATCTCCCTCCCTTCCTCTCTTCCTTCCTTCCTTTCTTTCTCATCTCATCACAATATTAAGAATATTTGTTGTGAAAAAAAAGAAATAGATGTAGGAAAGGTGCTGATGAAGATAAATAGCGATGCAAAAGTTTTGAAGTGCATATGGTTTTATTACAGGATTTATTGTAGCAGTGCCCCATGCAGTCATGCTGGCCACATGACCTTGGAGGTGTCTATGGACAATGCCGGCTCTTCGGCTTAGA